CTTCAAGCCTTTTAAAAATTAGCTGGCCTAATCCCGTTTCATACAAACACATAAAAAAATATAAAAAAATAACACCACACCAAAAAACACCCATGAAGTTTCGAGAGACTGGTTGGGGAGTTTATAGTGACTTTGACTGTATGATATAAATCTGTCTGATAAAACATGTTTCAAGCTCCTTTAGAGAATTCCTCCATGCTTTTTGCTGCTGAGTCAGGGTTGAAATTCTCATGCAATATCCTTTGATACTTCAGTCCAAACTGTTAATTATACAGATAAGAGATGTCAACAAAGTTAAACTATTGTAGACCAAAGTGTATTACTACAGGGAAATTATTAAGGCTTTTAAACAAAAAAAAACTGATGAAGCCTGAAATACACATTTTTATACAAAATCTACAAAGTTGGGGGAATAAAGCCTATAAAACAAATTTATTCTATCCATTTTACAGTTGACACAATTTTATGTTACTACAGTCCTTTCAGAAATGTATACAAGCCTATGATAAAAACTCAATAAGTGCATTCCAAACCTGAGGTTCCAATATCACCAGTGATTTCACAGAATCTTGGAGTCGTGGAAACATGGAAACACAAAACCATAGAATCATGGAATATTTTGAGTTGAAAGGGCCTTAAAGATCATATAGTTCCAACCCCCCTGCTATGAGGAAGGACACCCTCCACGATACCAGGTTCTCAGAGCCCCAGGCCCTTGTCTAGGCCTTTCTGGCAACTTGTGCCAGTGCCTCATAGTGCCAGTGCCTCACAGTAAAGAATTTCTCCCAATATCATAAAATCATAGATTGGCTTGGATTGGAGTGATGTTTAATATCAACTATTTCCCCATCTAATTAAAAAAAAATCCCAAAACAAACAAAACCCAGAAAACAACACAACTGTATTTTCTCCCAAGATCAGACTCTCAATGCCTATTTGGTGAGAGAATAATGCCCAAATCACCGAATACTTTTCGTCATGATTAGGCACAGGGCAATGCAGGGAAGAAGAGGGTAGAGTTAATGGCACACATCCATTTGTACTGGCCATGAAAGAGCCAAAAGCTGTTGGCAGTTCCCCAGAATTATAAAGTATGATTTTTCTTTATATTTTGGTGGTGCACAAGCAAGTCAAAGTCTGGAAATTCCTTTTTTATTTTTTTTTATTCCTAATGAAAACCAAAAGAGCAGAGAGTCTTATCTTGAGTCATCTGATGTTATGGTTTCAAATCCACATCAGAAGATACTGATTCCATAGCTTTCAGTTGTTTACATACTGAAATGATTTGACACTATGCTGTCTGGTTTGTTCTGCTTTTTCTTTAAACTTTGGAGTTTAAAGTTTAAAATATGTATAGTGATGCTTAGTCTGAAGATATGGACTAGGAAGACTTTCCTAGACTAAGCAAATGTTTGTTCAATAATAGATAAAAAAAAGCAAATGATGTTTCAGTTAGACATTATAGAGTAAATAAGCATTTATTTATCTCCCCCTTTTCACCTCCAAGTATACATAAACAACCAAAACAGGAGAGACAAAATATCAGACTTCTTGTAATTAGCTGGTATTACCTGCATTACTGCAAACTGGGAAAATGAGTCAAAAGAGAACAATGGAAGCATCTGGAAGACTCTCAGTGTGTTATTCCAATGCACTTCAGAGGACTTAACAGCATAAATAAACACTTTAAGTGAATATCGTTACTTGCACTATAAGTGTTGCTGGCATCTACAGGACACTTAAAAAAAATTGATTAGTGCTACACTGGACTGCTGAGTCACCAACGCCCGTCCTTCCACTGGGACAAGAGGATGTCTTGTAAGCAGGTTATTTATATTCTTAATATCTTCAGCAGAAAGTACAGTCTGGTTAGGTTTGGTAGTCATTAAATGGCACTTTATGTGCTGCCCTCATCTACAGATTTCTTATCAGAGCAACTTCAGTCTTAAGTAAGAGAAATTACAAATAGGCCAACCTCTTTTAGTCTGAAAGAAGAAAGACAATATCAAATCGCAGAGTGCAAAGGTTTACTTTGGCTGAAAGCAAGACCAAGTTTCCATATTAAAGCTCCATGTACGCAGTATCACTAGTTTATCCTGCTTGGAAATAACAGAAAAATAGAATCCAAAGGTTTGTTTTCTTTTTTAGTAGAAAGTGCAGGTGGTCTTGGACTTGCCAAGATATAATGTTTTTTTAAAAAGCTGAACAGGCCTTGCCTCCTCTTCAGTATCTCTTTTAATTCCGCAACATAATAATCATGATCATCAACCCAGAACATAATATTACTTCTTATTCTTTCTGTGTGCTTTGAAAAAGGCAATTGGAACATATTTACCCCCAGTGTACTGTGTGCCCTAGATCCTACTTTGTATTTTCATGTCTGCAAATATTTACAAAGCAAAAAATACCGTCTCAGTGATGCAACTGACATGCCTTTAATGCTATTCCATATCATTGCTTCAGACCAAAACAACACACAACCACCACTTCAAATTATGAAAGACAGAAATATTTTTAGTGGCCTACAGCCAACCATGGTCTAAACACTGCTTGTGAGCTCATCACATGCATGCAACATTTGGAATACCCCTCATAACCTTTGGCTGCACAAATATAGACCTTTAGTCAAGAAACTCGAGCGACAGTTTGGTTCATTTGAGTAAAATCAGGGGGATCAGCAGCTGATCTGCTTTAGGTGTTGTAACCTGATACCCATCTTCACTGGCCACATTAGAACACAAGGTCTTTGCAGACAAAAAGAGGATTCTCAAGCACAAAGAGAGAGCAAGGCATGCTAGGGGACTATATGTGGTCTGCCTAAAAGTCTGTTACCTCCTCAGTAAATGGCTATCCAGTAAAGAATTGCAGAACTGTCTGACTTTAGCGTGGGCATGTGTCACTACCTCTGTAGGCTGTAGGACTCACTAGCACATGACTTAGGAAAGATGAAAGGCAGCATGTAATTACATATAGATCTGCCAGCAGCCCCAGTATTAGTCCACCTGGTATGCACAAAGTTCAACTACTACAAGTTGCCTCAGATAATTTTAAAGGTGCAAAGCCTAATCACAACATTAAATGATCACAACTAGGAAGAGAGCAATTAACTAATCATTTCAGAAGCTTGTTCTCTTCATCACTCCAAGAAACAATTTCACCACAGGAAGTCCTCTGCAGACTGAAACACCCGTCACATTGCCATTAAGATGAAAACTTTATTTATATTAGGCATTAATGATTTCTTCATTGACTACACAGAGGAGATCAGAGTAAAACACATTTTGATGTTCTAAGTAAATCACTGCAGTTTTCCATGAAGAAGCTTGTCTGAAGTTTGACTTGGATGGAAACTTGCTTAGTTTAGTTCAGAAATGGTCCCAGTTCTTCTGCGAAGTTTAAGATGGCAGGCTTACAAGTCATGAAGCTTGATAAGGTACACAATAGTTTTAAAGGATGAAACAGAAATAACACATATATGCTTTTATTACAAACAGTACTTGTTTTACTTTTTAAATGAGATTTAATTGGACTTCTGTAACAGAAGGAACTGCAATTCTGTCTTGATCCTGACTCAGTATCTCAATTCTAAGAAGAAAGCCCTCCACCTTCGCTATGCCTTCTTTCAGTGATCAGAAAGGCATACAAAAGATTATTACGTTCAATATGGCTCCAAAGTTGAAACAAAAATCTCCTCCTCAGTCAACTGTATACCCATTACATGTGTTGTATACATGCTGGAAAATAAACACTGGCAAATACAGTGTACAGTCTTGGAAATGGCTCAAGTGACTGGGTTTTTGAAAAGGGTTTATAAGAAAATATAAATTCTGTCAACTGAAAGATGTTAACTTGAAGACTGAACCTAACTCTGTTCATTTTCAGGGACTACATCTTGCATTTCGCTGTGTAAGAAGGTACACAGCAACGTGCAAAAGCAGGTCCACGTGAAGCTGGAACACAACAGGCTGCTCCCCAGCCAGAAGTTCATCACTCTTCCCAAAGGGAAAGGCGTGGATTCCAGAGGTGATTCTCAGCAGCGCTATTTTTATGCAGCCTCCCCATTCATTCACCATGGGGCCAACAGCACACGGCCACGCTGCCCGTTCACTCGAGGCACCTGCGTCCCACTCAGCCGCGCTGCGGACCCTCGGCAGCATCTCCGCTGTCCAGGACATCCCCCGCTGGCAGCTCGCCGGAGCTCAGATACGACAGCTGAAACCACCTTTCCTACTGGGCGGGCAGTACCCGAGAGCTCGCGGCAGCCCTGCATGGTGCTCACCATCCCTGGGCATCGCAAGGGACGAGGCCAGTCCCGGCGAGGCATTGCTCGCCCAGCAGATTCAGGGGAACCCCGAGCTCTGCGACCCTGCAGTCGAGAGAGTTCCCCACTGGGAGGGCGGCACCCGACAGCCCTTACAGGAGCCGAACGCGGCGACGGCTGCGGGGGGGTGGGCTGGGAGAGGAACCCCGCTTTCCACAAGGAGCCCTAAGGCGACGGCATCGCCCGTCACCCACACACCCGAGGGTTCACCCAGGGGCCCCTGTTCGGCCGGAGCCGCCACAAACCCGCCGCTCGCCCGGCATTGCCCCCGCTGTTGGCACATCACAGGCACACGGGGGACACGGACCCGATGGTTGTCAGGGGTGAGGTGCCGGCCGCAGCCCGGAGGGGACGCTGGGGGCACCGTCGACTCCCAGGAGACCTCCCCGAAGTTGCCCTGAGAAGTTTGGGACCGCCCGGAGGTGCAGCCGCCGAGCAGAGCCGCCCCCTCAGTCCACACCTCCCTCCTGGCCACACGCTCCTGGACCAGACTTCGGGGACTAACCCCCATGCCCCGACTGACCCCTAGGGGACGGTACCCGCAGCCAGACCGACCCCCGTCCTCCCCTGGGGACGCGACCCCCGCTCGCGGGAGAGAAGAACGGCAGCCCCGAGGTGCGCTCAGAGCTCCCCCCACAAATGCAGCCCTTGGGCACAAATAAAGCAGCGGGACACTTACCATCTCGCCTGATGTTGGAGGCCCGCAGGGCTTTTATAGATCCGCTCTGGGCAGGGGCGGTGGTGCCCTGACGGCTGCAGAAGTTCGCACAGACGACGGCGTAGAGCAGGAGGAGGATGAACAGTCGCATTGGGACCAGCTGCAAGCGGGACCGTGTCTCTGCGAAGAAACGGGTCTCCCGCCGAGGGTTCTTCCCTCGTTCGTGTTCTTTACCTGTTCCCGGACTTTTTGTTTGTTGCGGGTTGCTTGTGTGTTTGGGGGAGTTGTATGTGGGGTGGAAAGGGGGGGGGGGTGAGGTACGGGCGTAGGGGGAATGGCACAATCCCCGCAAAAAAAGCAAAACCCCACGGCACGGGAAGCAGCAGTCGCTGCCGACGCGCTACTCTCCGAGCTGCCTCCAAACTTCCTGCATGCTGAACTTTTGGCTGCCCTTCTGCGCCGGCCAAACTCGGCGGAGGTGCGGAGCGGCCGGGCCGGGTCCGCCGCCCCCTCCCCTCGGCCCGCACGGCCGTGCCCCAGTGTCAGGCGGGGGCTGCCGCTGCCGGGCTGCGCCTGTCGCCTCGCACCGCCCAGCGCCGCTCCGCCCGGCTGGAGCCGCCGCCGGGGTCTGGAGCGGCGGGAGCCCCGCGCTCGGGGCCGAGGGGGAGAGGCGGCCCGGGGGAAGGGGGCGGGAGCGGTGCCCGGGCCCTCCCTGAGCTACTGGCCGCGCCGTCCCCGCTCCGGTCAAAAAGTGGCAGGAGGGGTGGTGCGAACGCCGGGTTCCTGGCGGGGGGGTGCGGTGGGAGCCGTGTGCCAGGGGCTCACCGACAGCAAAGCGGCCGCGCACCCGAGGGTCCCGTCACGCTTGGGCCCGCGGTGGCCACGAAAAAGTCATCTCTGGGCTGAATGACTCAAACCACTGAACTGCGCCAGGGCGGGTTGAGAGGACTTTGTGGGAAAATTGGTGAATAACCCGCAGTTGTCCCTGGGAGGAATACATGGGCTCTTGTGTCATGCCAAGTACTGCCAAAAACCTTTCATAAAAAGTAAATTCCTACTAATTTAGACCCTCATCAATTGGGTCTGGTATTAAAAGATTGTATTACTGGCGGATGAATTTGGGTCTAAACCAAAGGTATGTGAGGGTTGTGATCAGATTGCTAGTTTAATACTCTCTTTCCTTCCATTAGCTACAGTGAAAATAATCAAAAGGAAGATGCAGGAAAAAAAAAAAACTCAAGTTTTAACAGTTCTCTAATAAATCCTTCCCTACTTTATTTCTTAAGACTTTTCATTTACTCTCAGCCAGTCTAGCAAACTGTAACATGCTGCCAGACCTTTAACAACGTGAAACATACCTCATTAGCAGAAGAGGAATGTCAATACGGTGCTATACCAGGAGTCTTGGATGAGTCTTGCTACACTCTGAGAACTGCCTCTGGCTGTGTGAAGCATTTTCTCTGAGCATGTTAGGATGACAATGGGACTGAAACATCTTGTATGTCTTAAGAAACCAGTAGGGTGCAATTCTGTTATGCATAATTCATGCTTCTTTATCCCTTTCATGTTCCCCAAAACTGACAGCGAACCTAATCCTGCTCCCACGTGGTAGATAATGGAAAGGCTCCAACAGTCCTTCATTTGTGAGCAGATGTGCCTACATTTTAGGTGCCCATTTCAGGGGGGGAACTGGGTGAACAGAGTGGTCTATTCAATCAGCCTAATAGAAGTAGAAAGTCAAATAGAGGACATAGAGGAAATGAGGATGGGGGAGCTCTGGAGATGTCTTGTTCATCTAGTCAGTAAGTCTGCCTCTTTCCAGTTGCCTTAAAAGAAACTGGCAGGAAATGCCAATAGAATCCCATCTCCTTAGCTCTATTCCGAGTGCAAGTACCTTTTAGCATAAAAGAAGGTGGTCAATATCCTGACCTTTACCACAACCTCGTGGTGAACTCGTGTTTTACTTAAAGTCCTCAGACCCTCCTTCTCTCTTAGACTCAAGATGCTAGAACCCATAACTATTTGTCTTTGGGTGAGTGGCCATTTAAAGGTGGAAGAGGAAGGGAAAGAAGGACAGATTACCTCCCACCCAAAACTTAGACAAAAGGTGTTTTGACATTATCTGAGCAGTGGCATAATTCAGTCAAGAAAGGGCACTGTTTCCAAGGCTGTTTCTCTTTCTGTACCCAGGTTCATCCACATAAATTTTCTTAAATAATATGTCTTCCCAAGAGCTTGTCTGGAACTAAAGTCTGTCTGGCCCTATGCCTTCCTGACTGCACAGGTCCAGCTTTGACACAAGAGTGGAACAGGCTTTTGCCTTAAATATTCCACAACTGTTAGACTACTGTGCTCCCTGGATTAATAAAGACTATAAGTTTAAACTTCCTCAAGCTGACCAGAGCACAGAACTGAGACTTCCTCAGCACTTTTTTTTTTTTTTTTTTTTTTTTTAGAGAGTACATAGTGTTGTGGTGCATAAGATGAAATTCGTGTTTCTGCAGCAAAGGTACTTGTTGCTTAGAGAATTCTCAAGCAAGACAGCATGAGACCTCATAAACTAGACAGTGATGAAAACAGGCAAGTGGATTCCACCACCAATGGCTTTGATATATATCAAGAGGAACTGTGTATAACTCCTACCATATGCTCATGGAACATTTCTGTTCCTTCCTTTGCAAAGCATGGGATGATGCCATTCTTCGTTCTAAAGCAAAATATATTTTTGTAGCAGGAGAAACAAATATTTTTTTCAGGTCAGAAAACAGCCATGGAATATTATTGTGGGGTCCAAAATAGAGGTCTAGCCCTATGAACTATAGATATTTATTTTGTACCCAGTATCAAAACATCCCAGATTTTTCAATTTGATGTAGAGGTGTAGAGAAAGATTTTGGAACAGAGCAGCAAGGATGATGTTCATTGATAAACCTTTGTTGAAAAGGTCTACACTTAAACCATTGTTGCTACAGCTTCTCAGTTCACTTTAAAAAACACTAAACCCAATAAAAATTGAGAGTATCTTTATAATAAGGTGTCACAAAACCCGCTGTCAAAAGGTGAGAAGTTTGGATTATGCTCAGATGTTTTTATAAGCATATGACTCATTCTTTACTTTCTGGCACATTAGCTAATCTGTATTCTAAGGGTTTGGGACAATTTAAAGCATTGGACGATTTCTACAGGAAGACCTATAGCAAGTCATGGTTACTGCACAAAAAGACATACTGATGTATAAGTGTGATAACACAGGTAATTACAAATTTGTGAGCGCAACTGGGATCCTGATTAAAAAAAACCTAACAGTTGATATGAAACTCAATTAATAAAAATTAAAAGGAAAATAATATCATTATTAATCAACCCGGAAAATCTTATCATGCTGACTTGGAAATCTGGTTTACAAACAGAATAGCATCAAATTATGGCTTTCATAAGGTACCACTTGGTACCACACAGTTTGACTCATATGGAATGAAAGTCATGCATACTAAATGTTTTCAAAGCTTGTTAAATGACAGGTTTAAAAGAGTTTACATAAAAGGGAAACATTATTAATTGGATTCTTTTTAAGAGACCACCACTTAGGCTAATTTTTTACTTCTTCATTGATTTGCATTTTCAACAATGACCTGGGAAAAATACAGTCATTACTCATGGCTTTTGAATATGACAAAAACCTTGGAGAAGTAATCGGATGATTTATAGCAATGGTGTTATATGGAGACAGACGTGTAGATACTGGGTAAAACTGTAAATCTGAGTCCTTATGCAGCTCATCCTTTAAAATAGCCAATGACAGCACTGCCCAGTGCCTGCGGCATCTACCCAACCTCAGTTTAGTCCTCTGAAAGTGTCTGGTGAAAACCTGTCACACAGGTTCTCATTGTTCTTGGAGAGAATTGGATACCCATCAGAGGGCACTCTAGCCCAGCGGTTTTAGGCAGTTGTGCTGTGATGGCCTGGAAAGTCCAGTTTCTCGCCACTGACTATGAAGAGAGCATAGAGACCAAATACATAATACATTGTTAATGGATACAGTAGTTAATCTTAGAAAGCACTGATGCAGAAAAAAAATTACGGGGGTGGATTATCAAGGAAGTCAATGGGCTGTAGCCTTCCATGTTATCACGTGTTGGCTGGGAGATGCCCCAGTGTCATACAGTTTGTCCGTGGAGAACAGAGGTACTGTGTGTCCACCTCTTAGAACATTTGAATTATGGTGATTAAGTAGCAAAACCCAAGATCTCTGTGCATTATCCCTGGGATCCTTGAATATTTATTTAAGAAAGGGAATATCAATTAGAGTAGAGGCATTATGCTCTCTTCTGTTATTATTAGACTGCTGCATCAAGTTCCTGTGAATGAAGTCTTAGAAAAGACCATAATAAAGTGAAAAACACTGAGAGGAAAACCACAGAGTTGGTTTGAGGTGGAGAAACATGCCATTTAGGAAAAAGCTTAAAAATCACAAGCCATTTAGCCTATCCAGAAGGAAATCAAGAGGGGTCACAGCTAACTCCCATATGTAGGATATTGATTCTGGAAGACTGTTCGGTCTAGTGGACAATGACATATCAAGGTGAAAACTGGAGACAGACAAACTAAGGTTAGAAGTAAAAGGCACACTTTTCAGTGTGGAAAGCTATGGAAATATAAGTTGTATACTCTTTACCGCTAAAAATGTGAAAGGCAAGATTTGATGTTTTTCTAAAACCAGTCAAGTGGTTTCAAGCTGTGCTTAGGAACTCATGGGGTCTATTGATCACTTTGAAAAGCTCTGTAAAGGTAACAGAACCTTTCATATGTTCCATACTACAAACCACAGATGAAATTTTTAAGTGGTTCTGCAGATCACTGGAAGATGACAACTGAAAAAACATACCTCCAGGGATTAATTCTGGGAAGCACCGTGATTTCTGTCATATAGGACGGCAGTCAAGTGAGGGCAGCAGTGCTTGGCCTTGTATTTCATAGGACTGATCACCTGTCTTTATGTAAATTTTGGCTAGTTCTCCACTGCAAATGTCAAGAGACAAATATTGCACCAACACACATATCTCCCTCAGGGAGGGGGAGAAAAATGATATCCTGAGCTGAACATGTTGATATGTTAACTTTTGAGAAACTGCTATATCACTCAGACTGTCCCACTGGTACATAGTGATGGTACCAATTGACACATAGTTGTGCATGCAATATTCAGTCATGCTTTCAAAATTAGTATAAGCCACAATGAAACAAGAAATGTTGTCCTCCTGAGGTTAAGTAACCTTTTTAACCCCCGTTTGTATCAGTACAACCATCATTTAGATTTAAATTCGGGTTTAAAAAGAATGGGCTAAGTTTTCTCATAGGTTTTTCTTAGTAAGAAAGAAATACCTTCAAAAAGACTATTTCTTCTGTACCCCAGTTCCCAGGTTCATAGATTTAAAGAGACCTTTCTAATTTCTTTCATAAATAAGCCAAACTATTTTGCTGTCTGACCTCCTGCTTTGTTTACT